ACAAACATTTAAAAGCTTAGGGTACCCATTATCTGCCGTTTCCTGTTTAGATTATGAGTCACTTAAATTATCGTTTAAGCTGTGCCAACTTATAGAATTGAAACCTTTTGTTAATATCTTTATCTATTAAAAGACAATAGATAACGTAAGTAACTCATTATAGAATTTTTACTTTTTTACAGACTTCATAAAGGACTGCGTTGTTTTTAAATGTGTGTTACTTCAGAAATTTTTTCTGGTTGAACCGATTTTGATGGTTCTTTTTATGAAAGCTTATGCTTCCTGTGCCGTCCCATATAAATTTGATTAAGATCTGAGCAGTATTTTTTGAGTATTTAATTTATTTCCAATACATTGATGATGTTCTCATTTTATTTGTATTGATGTCGATTGTGTAAAATTTTTAATTTTAATATTTGTTATTTTTAGAGTGAAAAATGAGCGCACTACTTTATAATGGTATTTGGATGCTGCGGTCCATGGTGACCTAGGTACATCTGCCATCGAAAAATCCAAAATACAGGTGCGTTGTCAGAGGTTTTAGATTGCTCGTTATCAATAAAAGCTGTTTTCGGCTCTTGTCACATAGTCGTTGAAAAATTAACAACGAGCTTCTATTTTAAGGTGATATTCTGTGCGTGTCTTATCCTTCCCCGGTTGAGCCACACATTGGTGCTACTGTCATTATGCCGCCTGTCTCTACCATTATACTAGTCAACAACAAGACTTATTACAATGAATCTATTAATAATATTTTCTGTTTTGAAATAATACGAAAATACACTAAGTCCACCTTTTGTTATCTTTTCAATATTTTTATTTATGAAACTAAAGAAAATAACGTCCTGCTGATGGTGAGTTGCTACAGCAGTCCATGGTTACCTCCAGCTAGCTTCGAATTAAGAATGCTGCAGAGGCATTATCACCAGGCACACAGTCCACCCGATGGTAAGTGGATGCTGTGGCCCATAGACACCTACCTTAACCTCGATTAAGAATCAAAATGCAGATGCGTTGTCACCGCTGAGAACTAAGATGGAATGCCTTAATTCCAGTAAATCTAATTTATGAAAAAAAGTTATCCAGTTCTCTGCACTCACCATACGAAAAACAGCAGCATTAAGCTGCTACTTAACGATGGTATTCTATGAGAGCGTGGTCCTACCCCGATCGAGCCGACCCATTCGTACTTCAAACATAAAATAGCTGCAGCGTGGCTCTACCACGTATAAAATAAGATGGAATGCTTCACTGTCTGTTGCTCTACTGACTCTCTATACTCTTCACACTGGAACCCAGTAGTACAAGCACATTTGGCAACAGAAATAACTAAAAATATGTACCCAGACGATAAGGAATTCTACAACCTCGAAAGTAAGTAAATAAATATATGAAGAGTCTCACAGCAAGTATATTATATTGTATAAAACTACTTTTACAGATTTTAACGTGTTTAATTAACTTAATTTTTATACCTGAAGTCCCGGGTGCTTTCCGGCACCCATGGTCACAGGAGAGTGAGATGACTGACGTACCAACGTCAGAGCTAACTCGGAGTATCTTAAGCTTTTTATTTATTAATTTTGGTCTGATAAGAAATTAGGACCTTATTTTGCGGCATTCCTGATGGGAGGCCCATGTTCAGCAGTGGAGGGCTGTAATAATGATGGTGATCCCAGACGTCTATAGCAAAAGTGCTTTATTTTTTACTATTATTATTATACTTTTTACTTTTACGCGAGTAGCTTGAACTGTATGTATATAATATCAATATATGTATACACATACGAAAGTAATTTGCAATTCCGTTTCAGACAACTTCCAGACGTCTGAATAATGTAAAATTTTGCAGATGTATTTAGAACCGATCCCACCCACTTTGTAAAATGGATAGACGGATGATGACAAATTATTCTACTCCTTTGTTTTACGCATGACGAACGATGAAGCAAACTCCCTTCTAAAACTTATTTTTATGATATAATTGTAACAGTGGTTTTATAACTTCTGTCTATGAGGGTGATATAAAACTAAAAGATAAATAACAGCCATAGTAAGATTTAAATCTGTATAAGTAGGAAAACATTGCCCTTATGCATGCGTTGCGTCTTATGTTGTGCTTGTGAATAAAATTAATTTATCAATAAGTGGAAAAAAGATAAAGATTTGGTGCACTAAAAAGATTATGTTATATCTAAATAAAAGTTTTCTAATAGAAAGAAAAGGTTTTTCATTTTTATACGTATTTCTAAAGATAATTATATTTTACGGTGAAAAAACTGCTATACAGCGTAAGTAATAAAAATATTATATTATACAACTGATCAAAAATCAATGGCTGGATGATAGAATCCATTACATACATAGTATTTTAATTCATAATCGAGGATGATACACAACCCTTACCATCATGGACTGTGTGCTCGTTTGTCACTCTACCCTATAAAAAAATGTACAGCCACTAAGACTATAAGACCCTCGAAATACCGTTTAGGCTGTTTAGCAAATTGTCGCCATTTTAGAAAACTTAAAAACAAAATTTAAATTTAATTTTAACAGTATTAGATATTAATTTAGCCTGTATCATTATTTTCAGCATGACTAATGATCACTGTGCCCTAATATGCCTTACCGTATTTAGTATATACTCTTCATATTATTTGGTTATTTTGCTGGCGTGGCAATTTTAAAAACTTATACGAGTTTCATTCATCATTCTTATTACAGCCCATCACAAGTCCATTGATGAACATAGGCCTCCCACAAGTAATGCCATAAAGCACGGTCCTGAGCCACCTGCATCCATCGACTTCGTGCTTGTCGTACTAGGTCGTCACTCCATCTACTGGAGGGTCGCCCTACGCTACGCCTACTGGTATGAGGCTGCCACTCGGGAACCTTTCTTCCCCATCGGTTATCGGTTCTTCGAGCTATATGGCCGGCCCATTGCCATTTCAGCTTACTAATCCGTTGGGCGCAGCGAAACTCCGAGGTCCGAGCATAGCCCTCTCCATATCTCGCTGAGCGACCTTGAGCGTCCTCATACGGCCAGCAGTGAAGGACCACGTCTCAGATTCGAAGTCATGACTGGCACTGTACTGTTATACGATTTTACCGTAAACATAATTTTGCACTTTCATTTCACCAATTATCAGTTTCAGTTCCTCTCTAACTCAACTCCAAACCAAGTATAGAAAGTATATGTACTTTGACAATATAAATCGCCATCATTCATTAAGTTACATAAATGCAATCCAGTCATTAAAAATGAATTTCTTTTTGTATTATATTCATTTGCAATCCCGCTCAAATCCTCATTTAGAACGCTTATCTTTAAAAGTTACTTATAAGACAATATCTGTAGTGTAATAGTTTCCTTTCACATCAAATAACAACTGTAATAAAGCTGTTATACAGCATCTTTTATGCTTGTACATCTACCGTGCATCGCTATTAACGCAAAAAGCTATATAATTTGTGCCAATATTTTACTTATAAAAACTGGATAAACGCTTATATAGCCATATACAGTATTTACATAGACAAAAAATACAGCCTCTAGTATAAAACGAACTTCAATACAGCTGGTATACAGCTTGCATGTTGCTTGGGTTGCAGCCCATCAACAATCCACGTCTGAACATAGGCCTCCCGTATAGATTGCCTCATGAAAAGTATTTCCCATAGTTCCCACGCTTATCAGGTGGATCGGTAACAGCTGTATTCATTATTTTGTGCAGTTATCAAAAAGATGTTGCAGCCTATATCCTGTTTAATTTGTCTAAATCGCCTCTTACGACACCCACGGGATGATATGGGATGGAGAAATATACTTATATATAATATACTGGTTACTAATACGACTAGTATAATTTCATCTATCTCCTTTTCATTACCGAATTAGAAACACAGTGTGTTTCCGTACTTTCTTAGGTCAACCAATCATTCGATAACATGGAAATTAGTACTTTCCCGTACCTAGGAACAGATTGAAATGTGTGCACATGTGCGTGTGTGTGTGTGAACAGTTTTGTTGTCCGAATTACGAATACAGTATGGGTGTCCTAAAGACAAGCACAATAAGCTATTAATAATCTACTGTAAGTTATCATCCATCACTGTATTGCCAATTTCCATCAGGTGAGATTGTAATCAAGTTGTAATCAGGTGTAATTTATATACATTTTAAGTGTGGTAAAACCACGGCGCAGCTATGTTATGGTTGAAGCACAAATGGCTCGACCGGGGAGAGACCACGCTCTCCCAGACACCGAAAATAGCAGCTCTATGCTGCTATGTTTCGTGTGATAAGAGTAATGAAACCGGAGAACCTTTTTACTGAAAACAAAGCATACCATCTTGGTTCCCACCGGTGACAACGCATCTGCATTTTGTTTCTTAAACGAAGATAGATGTAGATGTCTATGGGGCACAGCATCCGTTTATCTTTAGGTAGACTGCGTGCTCGTTTGTCACTATTATTCTATAAAAATAAATCGAAGTGCCAAATTATCCGGTACGTTCCGGATTCCGGTCTAACAATCCAAAAAACTCCGTGACACGAATACGTGAAAGGGGTTTATTTTCGAAGCGCTCGGCGGGTTTCAGTGTCGAATACGTACACTTGTTATTGACATCGAACAAATATCGATATAATTAGTGCATGATGGCGGTCGCCCCTAGTCCCTAATGGATAGGCACAGAGTACTTTGGGAGTTTGGGACAGTGCAAACTTGTCAGTCGCCCGTAGCACACGCCCGCCCTCACCAATGCGTGCGTTCCGTACCCGAGTTAAACTGAAGTGATTAAATTTTACATAATTATTTTCCGCCTAACAAATGGGATAAAAAATACGCAGCGCCAAAAGACAATAACTTTGTGCATGTGATAGACTATATTTACCAGTGTACATTGGTGTGATACTAGTTTGTAGGTTAGTCGAATTTAATTTAGATTTTTAGTGGTTTTAGGACGGTTCTGTGTTTGTGGTAGCTGTGAAGATGGAAGAACAAGCAGGTATGGAGTTTTAATATTCATATAGAATATTAATATTCACGTGGAAATTTAAATATAATTTTTTTAAAGATTTAATAAAATATACCCGAATCATAAATACATATATATATATATATATATATATATATATATATATATATATATATATATATATATCTTGGGTGCAAAATAGACAAAACTAAGTAAATTACTTTTTTCTACCTTTTTTACATTTAAATTAAAATATTCATATATATGTTGTCATTGTTAGGAACTTGACACCGTTCTTCATTTTATTATCACAATAAAGACAAACGTATTCCTAAAACAAATATAATTCATGTTTAAAAATAAACACGTGTCCTGATAGTTGAGAAAAAAAAACGCAAAATATAGAAAAAACAAACGTGAATCAACTTTGAGGGTACCTATCAAAGTAACGACTTGTTTATTGAAATTATCGCCGAGGCGACGTATCCGATAGCCATGTTAATATAGGTGAAGTTAAATATATAATAAAAAAAGAAGTACAAAGTGGTTCATAATGCTACTAATTGTATGTATGGAATATATTTGTTGGATTGTATGACTATGGGAACGAAACACATTCGGGCGTTCCATCAATCTAACGAGTTTCGAGCCACGCCTAGTAAAAAAAATTAAAACAGTAAGTACTTAATAAGTAGGTATCGATTGTGTAGTGTACACCATGAAAACTACATATTTAAAGGTCCGAAACTACAATAAGAGAATTGTGGTGTCTCTCATAATAAAATAAAATAAATGTAGTCGGAGTTAATTATAAACGCATTATTAAGGATAACTCAAAAACTCCTCGTCAGATCTTGATCAAATTTATACAGGAACACATGACAAGCAACAGTCTATAAATAAGAAAAGAATAAGCAAAATCGGTTCACCGAGAAAAAAGTGCAGAGGTAAGGTGCAGTCGAATTGAGAACTTCCACCTTTTTTTAAAGTCGGTTGAAAAAAAAGTGTGTGACTTTGAGGTAAATGACAATGTTATAAAATATCTATAATTAGCTGACTCTTCGACATTACTTGCGAAATTTGACTTTCAGAACCATTTAAAAAATAAAACAATTTGAAATCGGTTTTTTGACGATGTCGTCGGAGCCTTGTGGAATATTTATAGACGATGGCAAAAGACCCGACGGTATGACATTGGTTCCTTGTGAGAGAGGTAGAGCCCATCTCGGGAGTATCTCGTTTCGAGGCGGGGCGGTATCAGAGGCAGCTGAACTAAGTGGCGCAAATATGAGTCTCTGAGAGATGACTACATTTTTGTGCCATTTGCTATAGAGACTATCGGTCCATGGGTTCCACGTGCGGTCAAGTTTCCATAGGAACTGTATCCGCGACTGATCGTCGCTGCTGATGATAGAAGGGCCGGTCCTTTTCTCACTCCAAGTCAAAGTATAGCCATTCGGCGAGGAAACGCAGTCAACCTTCTCGGCATGATACCACGGGGTTTTTTATTAATATTCTTTTAATATTGCGTAATTTTCATTGTCGTGTAATTTATTATAAATTAATACCTATATAAAATTAAAATTAACAAAAAATTAAATCGATCTGTAAAACTAGACTGCTCCGTGGCACAGTGGCTTTGCAATGAATTGTAGCGCAAAGTTCTAAGGTTCGAATCCCGCAAGGAATAAGTATTTGTATAGTCTACAAATAATTTTTCCGGATTTGGATGTTTGTGATTGTGAAATTTATGTATGTAAACTACTCCCACGATTCAAAAAAAATCTAGTGTTAAATAAAACTATTATTTACGGATTTTATCGCGTTTAACTCAACTTTAATTTATTTTTATTATCCCCACGTTTTGGGTGCTTTACAGCACCCGTGGTCACGGGGGGGACAGAGATGTATGACGTCCCAATGTCATAGTTAGTTCGGTTACCTTCAGTTTTTGAATATTAATTTTTCGTCCGATTAATATTAAATCCGTAAATAATAGTTTTATTCAATGTGTAGTGTTCGCGTAAATTTAAGAAATCATTAAATTCTAGTGTGGAGATAACGCTAAAGTAAAAGGAAAAGTTCTAAGAAGAATCCGAGTTGTACACCTATCTATTAATATTTATTGCCCCGTAAAAGATTAATGCTGGACGTGGAACAGCTGCAGAAGGATTTTCCTAAGTCGCATGGCATGGCAGTACCAGACGTCTCGTTCCTTGGACTCTGCTGTTTAGTCTCCGGTCAGAGTCATTTTTAGTCTGGAGGTGGTTGTGCCATGTGTCGAAGCATCATTGTACCATCTTGCGCTATGCATGAGTCGAAATGATGTGACGGAATCTATTAGTTAGCTGCTACATGGCTATACATATGCTTCTAAGTAAATTTAAGTTTAGATCAGATTGGACAGACAGTAATTATTGTGTTAATTCCTATATTTAAGCGATAACTACACATTGAATAAAACTATTTTTACCATTGACTTATATATTACTAGCGTAAGGGCCGGGCCCACCGAACAACTGTAACTAAAATAACAGTTTAGGGCCAACGCTAATCGGTCGACAGTAGTGCGCGCGTAGGACAGATTTGCCTTGGATTTGACAGAGTTGCGTGGTACAAGGATGCAAAAATTACAATACAAAGATTAAAAAGGTACAGGGATATCGTATCATCGGTTAATAACTTTATATTAATTTTCTTTCAATTAAATCATTATATAAACGCATTTTTAAAGTTTTATTTTACAGTTAGTTTAGTTACGTTACCAAGATTAGGCCAGGGTTGGATTCAGTCCCTCAAAAATATTGTACATGGAAAATAAAATTAGATATACTAATTTTCTAAAATTATATCACGTTTGACGTTTCATGTTTCTTTTTCCCATGTGCCGGGATTTTGGCGTCACGTATCTAGTTTATCTATACGTTTCGTTTTTTGCCGGTTTAATTTTTATTTCTGTTTAATTTTTGTTCAAAAAACTTAGTGTGAGTTAAATTTTGAATATTGGTACCTATATTTTATATTTAATAAAGGTAAAATGACAATAGTACAAATGAAACCAAATCTGCTTAATTGAATCTGAAAATCTGATTCACAAAATATTTTGAAAGTCTGTTTTCAAACCGATTGCTTAGAGCTTAGAGTTTTTATCGTAATAGCCCCCCTCATTATAGTTGTATCAAGGATGCAACATAAATGCATTGATCGAGCACCGATTGACCAGAAAGGGAGCTAATTCTAATTTTATTAAAAAAACGCTGTACTCATGTGCAATACAGAAATTTTCGATATCGTAGGGTGAATATTAAAAAGTAAAAGGAACCAATAATAATACAAGTCGAACTTTAGGTAAAATTATGGTATTTTCGTTTAGTTAATACATACTACAAACAATGAAATAATGGTACAATTAGGATAATAATTATACTTCGAAACACGACCCTGGTTACGTCGTGTTATGATATGACGTTTGTATTATGACAGATGCGCTACTTTTTCTTGTATGAAGAAGTTATGAGTAAAATATTTAGATGGGCCTATCCTTTCTTTTCAAATCATTGATTTTTACAGATTTTATCACGTTTAATTTTATAAAATAGTTAGGAATAAAAAATGAGTAAAATTAAACGCTATAAAATTTGTAAAATTTATTTTATGTAATGCCTCGTACCGGTAGGCGAAGTGTAGGACGACCCCCCACTAGATGGAGTGACAACCTGGTAAGACATGCAGGAAGTCGATGGATGGATGCTCAGGACCGTGCTTTGTGGTATACCTTGGGGGAGGCCTATGTACAGCAGTGGACTTGTGAAGGGCTGTAATGATGACGATGATGATGATTTTATGTAATGAAACATTTTTTTTTACAAATTTTATAGCGGACTGTGTTATTTTAACAGTTTTTACAATATTCATTAAAAAATTGTTTCTAATTGTTGTAGCTCATACCGACATTCAATTGGGCACAATTTTGGCACACCTTAGTAACTTCGACGACAATATTTATTTATGTAACTTAGATGACAATATTTATTTATGCAACTTAGATGACAATATTTATTTATGTAACTTAGAAGAAAATATTTATTTATGTAACTTAGATGACAATGCCTAAGTGTATTAGCAGTGTAAGAATATCCACTACCCCATACCGTCCCGTGGGTATAAGATGCGACAGAAGGAAACTGAAACAGAAGTTTTTTTATAGGATACGGTGACAAACGAGCACACAGGCCACCTAATGGTTAGTGGTTGCTACGGCCCCTGGACATCTACATCTATCCTCGATTACAAATCAAAATGTAGATGCGTTGTCACCCGTGAGGACTGAGATGGAAGCCTCTTTTCAGTAGAAAAGGGTCTCCAGATCTCTACACTCACCATACGAAACACAGCAGTATTAAGCTGCTATTTTACGTTGGTATTCTGTGAGAGCGTTGTCCTTCCCCGGTCGAGCCGGCCCATTCGTGCTACAACCATAATATAGCTGCAGCGTGGCTCTACCACATATAAAAACTGGATTGGAAACTGGAAGCTGTGGGCCTATGTTCAACAGTAGGGCTTTGTTAGATTATTGCGGATGACAATGCAATATAATGGTGGACCCGATTTCTTACCTTAACGACGCCCATTTAAACTTTGTTTTTAAATTGATTTTATATTAAAGTTAATTTAATATTTAAGTTTTCTGTAAAGTAATACCTAGTTCCAATATTTACGAAATTTATAGATAGGAACATGGCGCTAATGACTATCAACTATTTTGCTTAATAAAGTAGACTGCATTTTTTAATAAAGTTATAAAATTTGCATACGTCGTAATTATTCAATATTTTACCATTTTCCTCAAACTCTGTAAACACTAATGTTTTATTTATTTTGCATCGAATTTGATACAATCATTTCTTAGGTATCTAGTTTTATTGATATGCAGAAAATATTTTACTTCGTATGCCCACAGGGTAGGACATCGTCAGTATTATTCATTATCCTTACAGGCCTTCCACTCCTCAGAAGTCCACTGCTGAAAA